TGCCGCAGAATTTTGCCACGGCAATGAGCCGCAATGAGCTACAATAGGTGTGAGGGTGGGGAATACCTTAACACGTGTGCTGCGGAAAAAAATTATTAATGTAAGTGTGCCTTGGGCTGGAAAAGGTTGGGAAATACTGATCTAACCTAAACTTTCTTCGCTGCTGCTTGAGACCATTGCTCCTTGTTCTGCCTTCTGCTACCACTGAGAACAGCCCAGCTCCATCCTCTCTGGAACCACCCCTCAGGTAGCTGAAGGCTGCTATTAAATCCCCTCCGTCTTCTCTTCTGCGGACTACATAAGCCCAGTTCCCTCAGCCTCTTTTCAGAAGCTCCCTGTGCCTCAGCCTCTGAACCAGTTCCCTTGGACTCTGCAATGTGTCAACCTCCTTTCTGTAGTGGGGGACGGGGCAAAACTGGGCGCAGGGTGGGAGCTGGTGCGGGGGAGCGAGGTGGGCAGAGCAGCAGGCAGCTTGCCCCTGCGGGGTGTGCTGCAGCCCTACAGAAAGGGCTCGGGGAAGGCAGGGCGGCTTGGCGGGGGATGAAAGCAGCAGCCGCATGCCTGTTTGGAGCATCACCCATTACCCTGGGCAGGAGGAATTGAGAGAGGTTGCAGCCCTGCACGCTGGAGGCTCCGGAGAGGGCCAGTGCGGGGCACTGCTTGCGCTGCTCCCACGTTTGGGGACTGAGGAGCTGCTGGGGAGGCTGCAGAGCACGGGCAGCGCACGGCGAGGCTGCGATCCCCGCCCTGTCTTGCTCTTGCCCGGCACCTCCTTCCCCAGCAGGGAGGGAAGGCTGCCGGCCCCCTCCAGTGGCCGCTGCGCAGCTCTGCAGCCACCGCCTGGGCAAGGCCGGGAGTGCTACTGTGGCTCCTGCTTTTGCATGAGGTGATTGGGATTGCCTAAGAAGCTGTTAGCAGCCCAGGGACCCAAGAAGCAAGCTCCTCCTGCTTCCTCTTTGCCTTGGAAAGCAGAGCCCTGTCCTCCCTCCCTCTATTCCCTATATAGGTTCTTGCAGGGGATTTTCTTAAATGCATGCCCGCTTTCCCCAGGGCCTTAGGACCAGGCATGCCTGCTTCCCCCTTTCCCCTCATCCCTCAACTAAACCTGCTGTTTGCTGCCTCCCCTCCCCATATCCTCTGTCTCTTAGTGGGAGCCACTGCTGGTCTCATTCTCAGCTGCTGAGGGCAGAAGTATGGCCAAGGGCACAGGCACCCAGGAGGAGCTGGCAAGGGAACTGGTTCGGAGAGTAGAAGAGCACTGGTTTGGAGACTAGAGCAGCGTTCCTCAACTCGTGGGTCCCAATCCAAAAGTGAGTCACAAGAATATATGAAAGGATCATGAACAAACTTTAAAAATGTAGTCTCCTTTAAAAGGAGAAAAATGTGGGAAACTGTGACTTTTCTCTTGCAGGCTGGCAGAGCTCCAGCCGGCAAGGGGCTGCTTGGGGGCCCTCCATGCCCCACACACGGTGGGGCTGGGGCCTGCGGGCGGGAGTGAGGGGCACTGGGTCGGGACTGGCCATCAATGTTTACAAATGGGTCCTGGTACAAAAAAGGTTGAGAACGTCTGCACTAGAGCATCTTTGGAAGTGGGGGAGGGAGGCAGGGACACGTGAAGCTGCCTTAGGAGAGTGTTAGGTTCATCATGGGATCAGGGTTGTGTTTTTTTGGCAGAAGTGTTGGCACTCAGTTAACACCAACAAATGCTTACATGCCCTAAGAGGCAAGGGTGAGCTTGCCAGGCAGGCCTGCTGACCTTGTTTATACTAGACATCTGTGCCCCCCCCCCGCCCCCCAACACCAGACAAATCACAGTGAGCTACCATTAGTTTTGCTCTTCCAGTACTACCAACCAGACAGGCACCAGTGTAGACAAGGCACCACAAGAACAGCCCCTTGACCAAGACCTGCTCTGGGCTAGCAAGGGTATGAAGCTTTGTGGAGAAAAAGCCAGTGTAGACATAAACTAAAGATCATAGCCCAGAGTGGGCCTAGAGCAGATTTGTAGAGCATCTTTCCTGACTGATCCCAGCTGGGTGAACGGCAAAAGATTAAAATAAATACACTGGTGATATGACTGTCCCTGGTGAAATGCTGCACACACTGTGTGTACTGACTTCCGTGTTGGCCCAGCTCACTCTAACAGCATTGGTAATACCACCTTGCCCAGAGAAAGATAAGCAGGTGGCTTGCAAGAGAGAGACTTGCCCCAGGGTTGAGAATCCTGTTTGCAAGGGGAGCTCTGCTTTATAGAAGTGTCCTGCCCAGCCCCAGCAGGGCAATGGCAGCCTGGTCTTGGGATCTGACTTGGTCTTGGCCTGTGGCACTGCTGGAGGGGCAGCACAGGAGTGGTCGCTGGCTGAGATGGTGGTAGTTGTTGAGAGGGAGGGAGGAAGGACAGAAGGGAGCCCAAGAGTCACTGGCCTCTGATGGGTGTGGAAAGAGGTGGCTTAAAGCAAAGGAGGAGGGTGGATAAAATCATGAACCAATGATGCAAACCTGAGTTAGCTGGGCCCACCAGGTTACCCGGTCCCTTGGGCAGCAGGACTTGGTAGGAGCTCTGCCTTGCTTTTCTGCCCAGCCCTGCCAGGTCCCTTTGCTGGGAGAATACCAGCTGGCATTTGTCCCACAGGCTGAGCTGGCCCTGCCCTGCTCTCCTGAAGATGCCCTGGGAGCACATGGGTTAATGAAACACCCTGAATTGCCCTAGCTGGCCAGGGACTGGGGGAGTCTGTATGTGTATGCGTGTAGTCCGTGTGTGTGTGTGTGTGAAGTCCATATGTGGAGTCCCTGTGTGTGCATGTGCTGAGTCTGTGTGTGTGTTTGTGGAGTCTGTGTATGGAGTCAATGTTTATGGACTGTGTGTGGAGCCCACGTGTGTGTGCGGAGTCCATGTGTGTGTGCAGAGTCCATGTGCAGTGTGTGTATGTGGACTCCAAGTGTGTGTGTATGGAGTCCGTGTGTGTGGAGGGAGGGGGGGGCTGTGTGGGTGTACGTGGAAGTGTGTTGGTGTGCATGTGTGGTGGGTGTCCCCGCGTGTGGGTGTACGTGTGTGTGAAGGAAGGCGCCCGCCCAGGTGAGGTCCCGCAGCGCAGGGCCCGCGTGTCCGCGGCAGCCGCCCGCGGGCGCTGGGGCTCCACGCGCCGCACAGTAGCGGCGGCGGCTGCGGCGGCTCCCGGGCCAATTCCAGGAGCCTCTGGCCGGGCTGATCCCGGAAAGGGCTGTGATTGGCCGGCGCCCTCCCCGTATGCAAAGGAGCCGAGGGAATGACATTCCTGCGCTCTCTTACTGTAAGAGCCGCGCGCTTCCAGGCAGCCCCATTCATAGCGCCGCGAGCCGCGGGAGGAGGCGGGCCCGGCTCCCGGAGCAGCGGGGCCAAACAAACAGCGCCTCAGCAGCAGGGCGGAAAGCCGCCGAGCCCGTGGGGTGTGGGCAGCCTCCAGGAAGCGCTCCGCTCCCTTCCCGACACCACGTGAAGGACTCCGCAGCTCTCGCTCGCTTTGGAAATGTGCTGCTGCTGCTTTTTATTATGGTCATGATTATTCCAAAATGAGTGATCGCCTCGATCGGAGATTTTAACTTCTACCGAGCTGAGAACTTTTTTTTTTTTTTTCCCCCTCCTCTCTCTGGTTTTCTTTTTCCCTCCCCCTCTCCGCCTGCGTGGGGGAGGGAGGGGGCCTGTGGCTCTGCTCTTAGCACTTGGAGGAAGGGAAGCTCGCCGTCCCATGCAAGTAGGCAGTTAGGGGTGGTTTGTGTTTTGCTTTTTTTTTTTTTTTTTT